AGAGAGAGAGAGAGAGAGAGAGAGAGAGAGAGAGAGAGAGAGAGAGAGAGAGAGAGAGCTTTCATCTATGACTATGTAGCTGATTTGCCTTAACATAGAAGAATGCCACTTACAAGTAAAAATAATAGGCCCTAGTTGTAAGTGTAGCTGTTGGTCGTAATGTCAGAGAAAGTAAGCTGTTTTTAAACATAATGTGACAACAAAAAGAAAGTCTAACGTAGTGACATTTCAGTACATTACAGTGACATTAAAGCTTACCTGCCCCTGGTGCCAGCAGCCAGCTGTACAGGTATCCTGCGGCCATAGAGAAATACAACACTAATGCCCTCTGGCTGTTGACCGTGTCCAAGATGTGCTCCACCGTTACTGGCGTGTAGGGGTCTGCGTCCTGCTGACCCGTCTGCCTCTCCACCAACAGATCGGCGAAGGCTCGTGTGCGACCCCGTTCTGCCACTGCCAGGGCTTCATCGTGGTGCCCTGCGGTGTTCGGAAGTCACTGTTGAATATTCCTACCCGATAATCTGTCACGTTATGAAAAGTAGTGGATGTTCAACAGGAGAACTGGCTCACCGAGACTAACGAGGACCCTTTGCAGAGCCTGGTAGCAGGAGGTTTGCAGGTCAAACAGTGACAGCTTGTAGTCTGTGCTGTGCTGGGCTTCGTGGCGGATGGTCTCAAACAGTGCAGATGCCCGGTAGAGCTGACAACAGAGAACAGCGATAAAATGTTCAGATAGTAAAACGGCAAAGTTACAAAATGACTTGTGTTTCTACCACTGAGGTCCAAGGATAGCTCTCAGATATCTCCAACAATCACACCTAGACTCTCCCTGTCCTATGTTCAATTCAAAATGAATACAATGAATTATATATGTGAGTAGTTGTAGCACTATTCCAAAGACATTTTTGGAGTGAATGTGTTCCTGATTTCCAACAAAGAAGGATGGATTTTAGCCACTAGATGGCAGCATCCCACCTTATGGATCACCACGGATCAGACCAATAACTTCTGTTTCCTATTTCAGCCAAAGAAACTGCTGTGGAGTAGTTCGGTGAAAGACCTATGAACTAAACTGAAACTTCTCAGTGATTATTTACCTTAACATGGGAAAAGAACGTGAAATGGTAAACAATCACCCGGGTGTGAATTAAATGCTTTGAAATCCAACAGACCTGTCGGCGTTAGTGAGAACGTCTCCTCAGACTCAGGTTATTGAGGGAAGGAGAGAGACAATGGAGAGGTGGGGCGACCGGCGGTGTTGCACACTGGCCAGGCAGAGTTACTCGGGAGTGCTGATTCATGTGAGCCTTTATTGATTTCCTATTCCTGCACTCGTAGCAGCCCTGTAGGATGACTGAGACTGACTACAGGACCACTCTCCAGGAGTCCAGGACAAGCAGGGAGAGTACAACCCTCACAGGGCTTGGCCACAGTTCTTTCAAGACAAAGAGCGGCAGCAGAGAAAACGGTTACTAGTATGGATTGAATGTTTTTTATTAGTAGTATGCCTTTGATCGGTGAAGAAAAGAAGAGTGTATGCTTTTCTCGAGAGCACTTTTACATGGGTCCACTGCAGCTGATGTGGTGTATTCCAAGGTCACGCAGGAAAGTATGTCAGAGAGAGTGAGGTGGGGGGGAAGAGGGGATCGCCAACAAGCCTGAGAGTTCTGCTGCATTAGTGCTAGGGACAGAGCTGCTAATCTTAAGGCTGCTTTCACTGATAGGGCTCTCAGCTGAGCGTTCCAGAGGCTCCTTCAATCTGTTAGACTCAAGAACCTCCTCTAACAGATGAAACTAATTCCTCACCGTGACCTCCCTCTGGCCTTTCCCCAAAACAAAATGTCAAGAAACAGCCTCAAATGTGCTGCACCCACAGTGACTTGCACATCTGCGGTGTGAGCAAAATCTCCAACGTAACGGAGCCATTATGTATTCCAACAGCGCTCTCTTGTTTAACTGTCACTGGCACAACACGGCTTTTATCTGACATGTAAAGTGAATGTCAATGTCATGCCGAATCAGTAACCTTAGCAGAGCTTGTTACACACAAACCTCTAATGATTTCTCAAAAATAAATAAATAAAAATAAAATAACCTCCCAGGGGTAGTCTCATCCTTTTGTGTGAGATAATGTCAAATGCACTGGTTTAATCTACAGTACACCAGCGATTTTTTTAAGGAAGCACAGATTTATTGATTCTCACTTGCTGAGATATGAATGTGAGCGGCTGTACAAGGGAGCGGGCTCTGCTGAAGTAGTTTATTCGAATCAGGACACGTCAATCAGCGAGTCGCAGTGAACACCGGGATCACAGCCGGGGCGATAAAATACAATTAGGTTTAAATATGTAGAGAATAAGGAACATGAGGTCAAGCACTCCCAATCTACACCTATAGCTGCTTTATACATTTAAATACAAGCGTCTAAGCAGTAAGAAGTGGGTCAGGGTGTTTACCAAGGTTATTTGTACTGAACCAGCTCATGAATAATATTTGATCTATACTCTGAAGACAAAAAAATGTCCTTTCCCACTACCAATTCACCCTGAGGGATACAAGCTGACAGGGGAAGGAAAACATAAAAAAATTCTTTAGTTTAAAGGTGAGGTATTATGCAAAATCAACTTCTTGATCTTTATATCATTTTATAATGTAATAAACTCATCAAAAGCATACCCAGAGTGTTGTGTTGACTTATTCATGCATGTTTGAGAAATCCTTGAATTTCCCATGGTAGCCACGTAGAGCTGCTTAAACACTTGCTGGTACAAAGCACCGCCTCTTTGTACATAGCTCCTCCCTGGAGTTCAGTCTGCAGCCAAGCTCCCTCCCCACAGATCACCCCTCCCCTAAAGCATAGTTGTAAATACATGCTGAAGTGGAAATGTTGGAAATGGTAGGAGCTTCTTGAAGAGACAGAGGCCAATTTCATTGTGTTTGTTTTAGGGATGGGTACCGAATTCGATACCTTTTAAAGTAAAGACCGAATTCTGTCGGTACTACCGAGTATCTATTCACCTAATCAAACGGTACCATGTTTCGGTACCTAAAGGCATCAATGCGACCGTATTGGCTTAAGAGTGGTGAGTTTTCCATGCTTGTCCTGAACGCAGCACCACGTAAAAGCGTAATGACTTCAGCAGCCACTGATAAACAGAGCTCAGAAGAACGTATCTTGAAAGCGACTCGCTTTAAGCGAGCCTCACAGCGCGCACCACCTGGAGTAAAAGTCGCCGAACAGACCGCCTCTGAATTATCTGGTGGATTAATAATCTTGTGAACATGACATTCGCTTGCTCAAAGTAAACAAAATACCGCCACTTTCATTATTTCATCCTCCATTAAACAGAGATCGACAGAGGAAAACAACAGAGGCGCTTCCCGACAGTCCGAACGCGTCTGACCTAAAGAGCACAAGCAGCTAACTTTAGTGTTGGAGCGTTTTGGATGCTCAAAATGTAGCTTGAATACCTTTTATTTATTTATTTATTTATTTTAACTCCATCATTTTTTCCCGCATTTTTGATTTAAACTTATTTGCCTTCAATGGACCTCCATCACACAATTTTTCTAGTGGGGAAATGACATCAACAGAAATACGTGGAGTTGGATTTTAATTTGTAGAATAAGACAAAACAGTCTTGTTGTTTTCAAGAGTTTGCACTTTAAAGACATAAGTTACACAACTGATGTTACAATTCAAAGAGCTGGATGTTGTCTTGATATTTTATTGAGAAATATGTTAAAAAAATAAAAGTTTATCATAAACACACACACACACACACACACACACACACACACNTACCGTTAAGTACCGGTACCGATTCCTAGGTACAGGATATTGGTACCGAATCGATTCAAATGCCAAAGGTACCCATCCCTAGTTTGTTTACATGAGACTGCACTGTAAAAAATGAAATGTTGGATTTACTTAACCATGTTATGTTACCTGGTTCCACTTAACTGAGTTGAGTAAATTCAAAGCAATATACCAGTTTTTTARCCAAAGAACATGAGTATGTTGCTTTGAATTTACTCAACTCAGTTAAGTGGAACCAGGTAACATAACATGGTTAAGTAAATCCAACATTTCATTTTTAGAGTGTGGTCTCTGGGGAAGAAAAAAAATCATATGTTTACACGGAAATGCTGCCTCAGGTTGCCAGATGGGACATGGTAAACTGTTGTACTGTCCCTTTAAGATTATTGTATTTTGACCCAACATATGCTGAGTGAGGCTGTTGTACAATGAGGTGTGTGTTGTATTTGGTGAAAATGTGCACAGAAAAAGAGGGGCAAATTTTTTTTGTTTGTTTTTTTTTTTTTATCTGGCAACCCTAATAATCTGAACCTAGTAAACAAACGAACTTCAGACCTAGGGTGTTTTGTTTTTGCTCCTTCGTGCTACAAATGGTGAGTAACACTGTGATCAATATTTTATTGTAATTGTTAATTTTGAAGACAATTTGCCGTAGTCATCTGTGTGTGGGCTGTGAGCATGCGCGCTTTCACACCTGAAGAGTACGTCACACCACTGCAAGGGGTGTTACTGAAAAGTTCCACTCTGAGACCTGGTCTCAAAAAGTGCTGGTGTCAAAGACTCCGATCACCGGTGACATTTAAACAAGTGGCTGGATCGTAACAAAAATGTTGCCTTTCCACTGAAAACCAGCCCCTTGGATAGACTATGATGCAAAGTCAAATTTCTTTTTAATACAGCATTTTTATACAAAGGAAGGAAACGTGTACAGAATTTAAATACATGCCTGTAAAATACATGACACCCCCACTTTAAATGGACAATGAGATGTAAAAGGCCTGTCAGGGTTTTAGGATCAAAACTGGAGAGCAAACATGCAGTGGAAAATATGTTGCATTGGCTTGTTGGAATAATATTTTGCCTTTAATTGAACACAAATTCCCCAATATGACTCATGAGCATTAAGACTCTGTTCTGGTCGCCACTTTGGTTTAATCTTGCTTTCCCCGGCTCTTGTAGATAATTGCAAACAGACAAAACTAACTTACTTTTTGAAAAGTATGATGCAGGCCTGAAAAACAAAAGCTATCTGGGTCACATAGATGGTTATTTGTTTGTGTGTGTGTGCGTGCATGTGTGCGCGTGTGTGTGTTATAACAGAACTGTTTTGGACTAGATCTTGAAAATGAAAGAAGCTGAAAAGCATCCCTACAGACACACATGACAGCCACTGCTGTTGGCTCGTTGACAGATTTGTGTGTTGATACACAAGCCAGACAAAAAGAAGAAGAAGAAAAAAAGTACGAAATAAATAAAGTCAATTCTTGAGCGGCACTGTGTGGACAGACTGCAAAGAGAGAGATGTTGAGAGGATATTCCATGCTTGCCAGGTGGGCAGTGGGCTGAGGAGGAGAGAATGTGTGTGTGATCCGGAGGTTTGAGGCTCCTGAGACAGTGAACACTGATGTGAAAAAATCTTCACTCATCTGTCGCCTGTCTCCTCTGTTGACAGCATTTACCAGCTTTGCAGACTGCCAACAGCCACGTACAAGCTCTACATCCACCTCTCATTTCTCCTTCCCCACGTCCCTCTCCTGCTGCCTTTTTTTTTTGGGTGGGGGACTCTTTCTTTCACCATAAGGTTATTAAGGAAAGCTTATTTCCCACCCTTTATGTGTTTGGACATCTACCTCCACCTCTCATTTGTAAGCACTGCCAGCCTCTCAGTCGACAGATGTGGGCTTATTGGAGGTCAGTTTTAACTACAAGGGCCGGATTTGCTGGAAGGAGTCCAAATCAAAGGGGAAGTAAATGCGAGGAGAACCGCGTCAAGGTGACTCATAGCAAGACGAGGAAGAGGCGAGCTGTGCTTTACCTGGTGCTGGGCCTCCTCCAGATTCCCACTGGCCCACAGGGAGAGCCCCAGACGATGGCGGATCTTCGCCTCGTCCTCACGCCGCGCCAGCTGCTCTGCAAGCCGCAGGCCTGTGGGAAGAAGAGGGGGAAAAAGAAAAAAATGTCAGCGGATGAGCTGGGGAGCAGAAAGCGAAAATTATTCAGAACAGACCGACTCTTGTGTATCTTTGAGAATAACAGATGTAAGCATAGCGTGGTACTGATGTTCTGACAGCGAACAGGTTTGGATATTTGGCCTCAGTCGTAAGAAGCCGATCGTGTGCTGGGTTTTAAGCACACACACACACACACGCACGCCTCTGGCATAGGAGAAGAGTGTTAGAGCACTAATCGGTCTGCATAGTAATCAATGAAACGGATTGACTGGCTGAGCAAACACAAATAGGCGTGGAATGCTTGCATAAAGGAGGCCGCACAATATCTCAGAGACGTCAACAAATATTTGCAAACACACTGATGGCCTAATAATAAACTTTGTGCAACCCCCCCCCCCCCCCCAAGGATACTTTGTGATATTTTGTAGAGACGTTTAGAGTGTGTGTATCTAGATGTGTGTGCTTGTGTCACATCACCAGTTTGTTTTCACTCCTAAATCCTCAAATACGTAGGTGAATGTCACGTCTTTGCATGTGTCCTCAGTCTGCCTGCAGAGCACTCGATTCTGCACAGCTACAGAAATAAAAATGCCACTTCTGGCAGGACAGTGATGGGAAAATTTTTTTTAAAAATGACAGCCTCCAGGTCACATGTCATCTGCAAGATGCTAAACGCTCAGTAAAGCCTCCTACATATGACAAAAAGGCGACTGCTCATGTACAGTCTTGCTTTATACTGGTTGTGAAAGCGTAGAAAGAAACATATTGTTTGGTTAAAAAAGAAAAAAAAAAGAAAATTGGCCACGCCAGCCTCGTCTGAGTTTGCTCGTCTTCCTGAAAAACAATCTGTGGCTGGTCCAGATAAGCCGAGAACATAGAGTGTGACTCGAAAAACAAAAGGTGTGTGTGTGTGTGTGTGTGTG